ACACAGATCTATTTCCCCATCCTCATATATAAATGTATTTACATATGTACATGCCTTTATTTAGACCTCTATAAATGCCCTTTGCCTCCTAGCTCTGTCCTCTATTTCCTTTGACTTTCCTCTTGTCCCACTATCATGCTCAGTCTTCATTTAGGTTTCTGTAATTCCTCTTGGTCACATTACCCTTGATCACGTCCTACCAGGCCTCCTACATCCTCCTCACCACCGATTTGGATCACTTCTTGCTCCCTTGTCCCTGAGTTTGTTAACACCACTTCCTTTCCCCCCACCTCCCCCTCTCCCATGACCCCCCAGAACTGTCGGTCCCATTGTTTTCTCCTCCAGATTGTTCATCCAGCCTATTTTATTTAGACAGACCTGCGGAGATAATAACATGCACAAAAACAAGACAGAGCAAACCCAAGCAACAATATACAACAAAACAACAACAAACCAATGACAAAAAAACACAACAAGAAAGAAAAGCTTGTAGTTAGTTCAAGAACTCTTTGTTGGCCTTTAGGAGTGTTTTCCAGTCTAGTCTGTTGGGGCACCACGCCCTGGCCCCAAAGTCCAGCTTCTGCATTCCCTGGGGACCTCGCCACTCCGTTCCCTTGCTGTTCTGTTGCACCCCTTTAGTGTTTTGCCTCGGTGTGGTGGGATCAGATCGGGTGCAATTCCCACACTGTGTCTCCAGTGTTGTCCCCTATAGGGCTATGGGTCAGTGAGGGACATCGTGTCTCATAGCGGGGCCAGCCATGTGGTCCTCTTTGCGGACTGGCTACTCACCCACTCACTCTTCCATTCATCCATTCACCCACTCACCTACTCTCTCATCATTCATCCTCTCACTCACTCTTCCATTCATCCACCCACCCACCCACTCATCCATACCTCTCACCCACTCACTCTCCCTCACTAATCCATCCACCCATTGACTCACCCACTCATCTATCCACTTACTCACTCATTCACCCACTCTTTCATTCACCTACTCACCTACCCACTCACTCTCACTCATTCATCCACTTACCTACTCATTCACTCACCTACTCCCTATCCAACCACCCACCTGCCCACTCACTCATCTACTCACCCACCTACTCACTCTCTCACCCACCCCCTTCCTCTCGCCCTGCTTCCTTCCCTCCTTGCCAGCCTGCAGCCAGCCTCACTTTAGAGCCCCAGCCCTCAGGGTGTAAGAGGTGGGGTGGGCAGGAACGTGGTGGGCATTTACCCCCACCTGAGGGCACTGTGCTGCTATTCAGATTCACACAGCTTCCATTTCCCAAGAGGTCCCTCTCTGGTTCCACCAAGCCCTTGAGCCAGTGGTCCCTCTGCCAGCAAGCTGCCCCCACTTGACATAGCTGTGACTCAGCCTCCCCACCTCTCCAAAAGGGGAACCCTCGACCTCATCACCTGGGTCACTAACTCCTTCCCCCTTCACCAAACCCTGCCCCTCCTCCCTCCCATGCATGGCTCCAAAGGGAGTCTGTAGTGGGGAGGGCGCTCTGGGTTCTGGGGACCAGAGGGTGGGCGTGGCTCACCAAGGCCCCTCCTCCTCCTCTGTCAGTCAACAAGGAGTTGGTGCGGAAGGTGCCAGCGAAGGGGCCATTGGTGGTCAACAGCCACGTGGAGCATGACGTGGCGGTGCTACGCCTGTACCCCGGCATCCCCGCTGCCCTGGTAGGCCTCGTCCCAGCAGCGTCTGCCCGGCCCAGTCTTTGTCCAGGGGTGGGAATGCAGGCCTGGCCTCTGTGTGCAAGCTCTGCTGTTGATCCACCTGAGTGTGGAAGGGCCCCAATTAGCCTGGGGACCTGAGGCTGACCCTGGTGGCTGACCCCTGGGCCATAGCCATGGCTCTGTGTTCACCTCAGTCCCTGCCCCCCACCCTAGGACCAGCGAGTGGGTGGGCGTCCTGCCCTCCCCCAAGAAGCTTCTCTTGGGCTCCCCCTGCATACAGGCAGAGTTGGGGGCCCTGGGAAGCACCCCAACCCCAACACCCAGTGCAGGCCAGGGCGAGCCTACAGTGGGTTGTCGCAGCTAGGCCCCTCCTGGGGCCATGCCTTGGGCTGTGGGGGTCCCAGTGGGCTTGGTGTACCTTCCCCAGCACCTCTACCCCTGTGTCACTGGAGGCTGAGGGGGAAGGAGGGGGCTGCAGATCGGAGGCCCCTCCTGGGCCTCTCAACTTGTAGACCAGGGGACCCTGTGGAGCACGTGGTTCTCCCAGCTGTTGACTGGGAGCGGTCTGCCTTCCCACTGGGGGCGGGGGGCTGAGTTGCACGGGGGCTAGACCCCCATTGCTAGACTCGCCCTCCCCTGGACCCCTGGCCTACTCCACTGGCCCCTTCCACCTTGCCCCACTTCCCTCTGACCTCTGTCCTGACCCCTACCTTCCCCCTCCTTCCCGGCCTCCTTCGGACCCCCATCTCACATTCCCTGTATCTCTGCCCTTCCCCCTGGTCCCCTCCCTCCTGCTCTCTCCCTTGACCCTGCCCCCCGCCCGCCCCCACAGGTCCGGGCCTTCCTGCAGCCCCCACTGAAGGGCGTGGTCCTGGAGACTTTCGGCTCCGGGAACGGGCCCACCAAGCCGGAGCTGCTGCAGGAGCTGCGAGCGGCCACCAGCCGTGGCCTGATCATTCTCAACTGCACGAATTGCCTCCGGGGCGGCGTCACCTCGGACTATGCCACCGGCGTGGTGGGCGGGGCCGCAGCGTGGGGGCGGGGCCGCGGGCGTGGGGTGTGGACCGAGGCATGGTGGGTGGGGCACCAAGGCCTGTGGTGCAGGTGCCCCAGGTGGGGATTGAGGAGTGTAGAGAGGATCCCAATGGAGCCTGAGACCTGGGGGGACTTGGAAGGGGGTGTGCCTGGGCAGGACCAAGACCTGGGGGGCATGAGGGGGGATCCCGGTTGGGTGCTGAGGCCTGGGTGCTGGGGCGGGAGGGCAGGATGGACACACGTGCCCCCTGCTCCTCTCAGGCCATGGAGGGTTCCGGCCTGCTCTCTGGCTTCGACTTGACCTCAGAAGCGGCTCTGGCCAAGCTGGCTTATGTGCTGGGCCTCTCAGGCCTGAGACTGGAGGACAGGAAGCAGGTGGGTCAGGCAAAGCCAAGGGCCAGCTGGTGGAGGGGTGGTGGTGCCTAGGGAGGGACCTGGCACAGATGGGGGACCCCCAAAATGCTCCCTTACAGGCAGCCCACCTCCCTTGGGTGGCCCACTCATGAGAAGGGGTAGCGCTGGGGGCGGGCTGCCCACCAGTGTGTGTGTGTCCGGACCACTCCAGCCCCAGGCCTGGCTTGGTGGGCCATGTGGTTGACCAACGCCCCTGTGTGCTTCCACCCAGCTGCTGGCCCAAGACCTTCGTGGGGAGATGACGCTGCCAGTCTCTGAACGCCAGCGCTCTCAGCAGGGCAGCTCCCTGGGGCACCAGGTGGCCCAGTTTCTCAAGCTCACTGAGAGCCAGGTACTGCCCAATGGGGGGCCATGCACCCCAGCCTAGGCCCACAGCTTTGTCCTCCAGCCTAGAGCCCCCCTCCCCCCACCAGCACCAGAGACAAGCATCCTGACCCAGAAAGGCCAGAGCTGAACCCTGCTGCCTGGTCTGCAGTCAGGGGTCAGGTGCCCTGTGCCCATAGCAGGCCCCTCTGCCACAGGGGCCCAGCCTGACAGTGCTGCCTGGGTGATGCTGTGCCTCAGTTTCCCCTCAGTGTGGGGATGGGGCTGTGGCTTTCTGAGCAGGCCGGGGTCAGATGAAAGGGCTGGGCCGGGTGACCTGTCATTCGGGTGGCGTGGTTGTGGGTGAAGACGGAGTGTGGACGGCCTCTGCTCTGAGCCTAGCATCTGGGCTGTCTTCTCAGCAGGCCTGGGGCTCTGGGTATCCCGGAGAGCTTGGGAGGCTTGGCCTTCTTTTTGGGTGCTCTTTGTACTCCCTGCTCCCTGGACAGCGGTGGGGGCTCAGGGCTCCACTCAGGCTCTGGTCACATAGGGAAGCCTTGTTCCCAGGGGGGCCTCTGGTGGGGAGTGAGATTTGACGCAGGACTGAGGGCTGTCACAGTCCCAGCTCTTCCTGTCCCCATGAGTGTGCGTGAATGAGCCATGTGACCCCGGGCCCCACAGCTCACGTGGCTCTCTGGGTGGCTAGTGGTCACCCAACCCCCATTCTGCCCCCATCCCTGGGTCACAGTGGGGCCCACTGTCACTGTCTCTCCAGGAGTGGGATGCTGTTCGGGGAGCCCTGCTGCCCAGTCTGGCCTGTGCCACTGCCTACACCGGGGACATGCAGGCACTGCAGGCACTGTTGGAGATGGACAGCGATGTAGCCAAGCAGCACTTCACCGGTCAGACCCCGCTGCACGCAGCCGCCCGGGGGGGTCATGCCACAGCTGTGAGCTTGCTGCTGCAGAGAGGTGCTGACGTGAATGGCCAGGACTCAGATGGCTTCAGCCCCCTGCGGCTGGCTGTGAGGGGCAGGTATGGAATGGCGGGGCAGTGCATGGGTGCAGGCAGGGGCCCAGAGCCACCCTGGGCACAGTCTCCCAGCACAGAACTAAGGGGACCAAGAGCCCCTGCTCTCTGCAGCACCCTGGGGACCAGGGACGGCAGTGACCATGCATGAGGAGATGGCTTAGAGTAGGCGGACCAGGGATGGCAGTGACCTTGCATGGCAGCCAAGTCCAGCAGTGACCACGTTGGGGGATGGGGGACAGGGCAAAGAGCAGGGGCCATGGGAGGCTGCTTAGAGGGGGTGGTCTTGCTGAGGGGCAGCAAGACACAGGCCTGGGGCTTCTAGACAAGAGCCAACCTTTCCAGCTAAAGTGTCAGGGGCCTGGGGCTGCCCTGCCTTGGTAGCACCTGTACTGGGTCGGGTGGTGGGGCCAGGGAGGGGCACAGGGCCAGCTCCTGGGCAGGGAGGGCCCCACGCAGACTGGCCTAACCCCCCAAGCCAGTGTGTGGATATGTGTGTGAGCACGCATGCGCATGCGATGGGGGAGACAATATTGTGTGTCTGTGGGGGGCACACTAGGGCAGACAATGGGGGGGCAGGTGGTGTGGGGGGCACTAGGTCTTACATTGTGGGGGCAGTAGGTTTGGGGCCTGAGTTCTGGCTTCCAGGAGGGGCTGACTGGAGGCGGGTGGTGGGGGTCATGTCCCTGAGGCCTCTGTCAGGGCTCCCCCACCTGCAGGACATGGGCTGTTTGGGGCCATTCTCCGTCTCCTCGGCACAGTTATCCATGCAGAACACGCCTGCCCTCCTCCCCCCTGCTAGGATCCTGTGTATCCCGCCCCCACCTACTGTGAAACTAGGTTCCTCCCATCCTGCTGTGAGCCTGGTCCCCTCCACACTGATCTGCCTTCTGCATTATGAGCCCTTGGCAGGTGGGGTCGCCTTTGTGAGCTGGGCTCAATCCTGGTAGAGACCCCCTCACCCCACAACCCTGCCAACCCCATAGAAACCTCAGCCCGGGTCGGGGTGGTAGGGGTGCCGACCTGGGACCTCGGGTGTGGTGGGGAGCGTGGGATGAGCTCACCACTGGCCTTTGTCCCCACCTTGACTGTCACAACATCTTCAGACCGGTCTGGGCACCCCAACTCGATCCCCTGCCAGGGGCCCGCCTGCCTGGCAGGAGCCGCCCACCACAGCGGGTGCCCCATGGGGGTGCCGCACCTCCAAGGCTGGAGCACTTTGATACACACAGCAGAAGGAGCCCAGGAGTGGCCACAGGGTGGGGGTGGGGTGGGAACACATTGTTTCGTGTTGCCTGTCTGTCCCCCACTCCTGGGCCTCTGCCCACCTGTCCTCACCCCCATCCCCAATGGTGAGGCCTCTGTCTCCCTGTCCCTCCACTGTGGGACCCCTGCCCACTTGTCTCTCTGTCCCAGCTCTTAGCAGAGCCTTGCATCTTGCTGCCCCCAGCCCTGGTCTCCTCACCACCTGGCCCCCTCTTGTGCGTGGTGTCCCCATCCTTCTTGGCCTCAGGGCAGAGCAGGCCTCCCCTGCCATCCTAGCTGTGGTGCCCCAGGCCTGGGCCTGGCTGAGGGAGGCCATCCACGGGGGTGCATCTGATGAGAGGGGCCAGCCAGCTCAGGGCAGGACTGGCCCAGGCCCCCACAGGAGGGCATGATGCCATCTCAGGAGGTCAGGAGACCATGTGGGGTCTGAGGTGCTCACCAAAGACTGCTCAGCAGGGCTGAGGCCAATGGACACCCCCCCCACCCCGTGCCTGGTGGTGGTGGTGGTACTGGAGAATTGGGGGGGGGGCACAGGGTCCTGTGTGTGAGCAGGGCCTGGGCAGGGGCTCAGCACGGCTGCTTCATGCAGGCACGGTGGTGTGATCAAGCTGCTGCGGGAGGCTGGTGCCTGCCTGTCCCCCCGGGAGCTGGAGGACGCAGGGACAGAGCTATGCAGGTAAGGGCTGCCGGTGTGCTGGGCTGATGGGAAGGAGGGGCTGGGTCAGCAGGTGGGAGTTTGTTAGAGTAAAGCACCCCCCCAGGCTGCACAGATGGGGAAACTGAGTCTGAGTGGTGCAGTTAGACCACTCTCCCCGGAAGATGGAGCCACTGAGAGGCAAAACTCACCTGGAGTTACCCAGCACCACTTTGGGGGGAGGGCTTTCCATCCCCCACTCTCCCACTCACCCCCATGACAGAGTCAAAAGAGGCTCACCTGGGGGAGGGAGAGGGGACCCATGCTCCTCCCCCACTGTTTCCAGTTTTGGGCCGGGGCGGGTCCTGGCCCCCTCCCAGCCAGAAGCCCACATTGTGTGCTACCAGGACAGGCCCCGGCAGGGTGGGGAGACACGTGTGCAGGTGTGTGAGCAGGTAGGTGTGTGAGTGCCCCCACCTGAGTCTCCAATGGGCGAGACCAGACTCTTCCTATATGGCTGGACAGTGCTGGGTCAGCTGTTTGGGTCCGGCTGTGTTGAGGGGGGTGGGTGGTAGCCAGCTCTGCAGACCCTGACAGTACCCCTTCCCCCAGGTTGGCCTCCCGGGCGGACCTCGAAGGCCTGCAGGCATGGTGTCAGGCGGGTGTGAACCTGAAGCTGCCCGGCTACGATGGCAGCACCGCCCTGAGTATTGTGAGTGCTCCCAGGGTGGTGCTCCCCACGCAAGGCCACATCTCCAGGACGGCCATCGTCTTCACGCTCTGGGCAGAGTGGGGTTGTCTGGCCTTTGTGTGGGGTGGGTCTCTGAGGCGCCCTCTCTCCCGCAGGCGGAAGCTGCCGGACACGTGAAGGTGGTGTCCTTTCTGCGGTGCCTCCAGGAGGAGGGCTCTGGCCAGTAGCCCCCACCCCCACCCCTGGGGGCTGGGTGGACAGCTTTTCGCTTGTTCGTGGTCCACCCACTGAAGTCTGGTCACACCACAGCAAAGGCCAACCAATGTGGCCTCTCTCCTACCTGAGCCCCCGGGTTGCCCTCCTGCCCCCTCCCCTGCTGCCCTCTGAGCCTGCTCTTGGTGGATCTCCCTGCCCCGCCCCATTGGTTCCTCTCTAACTGCCCACCTGAGGACTGGGCCCATCTGTCCATCTGTCCATTTACCCAGGACTGGGAACCCAGGCTCCCTCCCCCACAGGGCCTTTCCCAAGGTGGGCCAGGCCAGGGTGCCCCGCCTGCCCTGTGGGCTTCTCAACCCAGTTCCCAGGCTGTGTAGCTGGCCAGCTGCCAGGCCCTCCCCCAGGTGTGGGCGCGCCAGCCTTGCACAATCGGGTCATGCCACTGAGGGGGAGAGTCGGGCCCGGGGCGCCGGCACCCACACCCTCCTGGAGCCGGGGGCCAGTGCCAGAGCAGGGACCCTTGGAGGAGAAGGCAGTATGGGGGCGAGGATGGGAGGGGGGGCATTGCTAGGCTGAAGACCTCTACCCTCCGGTGTCCCTGCCCAGGACTTCTGCCCAGCACCCACTGCCCCTGTGCAGGCTTGTGGTCCCCACATGGCAGGCTCCTCCCAGGGCGGGTGCCAGCCTGCCCTTGTGGCGCCGCCTACTCTCCTGGGCACCAAGGCAAGAGGATGTACTAAATTGGCTTCCCCTCAAGTGGGTCACTGGCCAGGGTGGGGGCACAATGGGGCTAGGCTGCCCCCAGGTGGGCAGACGGCGGGGAGGGGGGGGGATGTCCCCACAAGGGCTGAAGACCAGACCCCCAATCGCTGCCTTGTGGGATGAAGCGGAGCCTGCAGCACTGATCTAGTACCCGAAACACCAGGAAAGTCACACGCACAAATCTGGCCCTTACCTCGAAGGCCAGTTGAGAGCAAGGAAGCCAGCTGCTCCAGAGAGTGGAGGTGACAGTCCCCACTTCCTGCGCCAGGCTGGGAACATGGCACCCTTCCTAGGTTTCTGCATCCTCGGCCGAAAGAAAGCCGGGGGAGGGACCCAGGCCACAAGGTGCCCAGCTCTGCCAAGACTGTCCTCACTCCCCGAGAGGGGGCATATGGGCAACACCTCTCCTTATACCACCAGTGCAAAGCTGACCACCAATGATTAGGAGGGCTATCGGCAGCAAGGACCGGATGAACGTGGGGCCCGAGGTTCCCCGGGGTCCCAGGCCACACTGCTCCTCCCCCCCTCCCCACCTTGTCTCTGGGACCCCCCCTCCCTGCAGCCCATCTTCCCTGCAGCTACTCTCTGCTCCAACAGAGTTTTCTATCACAAAGCCAGACTCCACACAGCCTCCACCTGCCCCCCCTCTCACTCCCCCCCCACCCCAGCTCCCAGCTCAGGGAGCCCTGCTTTACTTTCAAGGTCAGAAGTTTCCCTTCTGGTCACACCACTGCCCTTCCTGCAGCAAAGACCAACCCATGTGGCCTCTCTCCTACCTACGACCCTTCTGATGCTGGAGGAAGTGACCAGCCCAGGGGGGCTATGGGAGGGGGCTGGCTGTGTCTAGGCTTAGACTTGAGGGGAGGGGTGCCTGGGGAGTGGCCCTGCTGCTCCATCATGGTGGTGGGGGTGTCAGGGGAAACTCCAAAATGTACCCAACCCCTCTTCCTGGCTACCCCCCTCACAGGGCCCGTGTACCGCCTCCCTGCCCTGTCTATCCTCTGAGCCTCAATGTCCCCATGACAAATAGAATAAAATCTTTTGCTGGCATGTGTGACTGGTTGTGATCATGAAATAACTGGGACCGTGTGTGGTGCAGGGACTGGCCTGGGCTTCGCTGGGGGTACCTGGAGCTGCAAGCCCTAACCCCCCCCCCTCTCCCCCAACCATTCAGGACTTAAGAACCTGCGAGACTACCCCACCCCCCTCCCCAATTCCTTCCGCGACGCAAACGCCTAGGGTCGGCGGCTGCTGTCCGTTAGGGTCAGGCCGGACACCTGCCGGCGCAGCTGCTGGGGCGCTGGGCCGCGCACGTGGGCTTGTTGGGGGTGTGAGTGCTCCTGTACGTGCTGGGGGGCAGGGCGCAACGTGCTGTGCTGGGAG